ACGACGAATCTCATATATTATGTGCAAGCAAAATAAAAATAGAAAGTCCATATTGTTCAAGCCCCAGCTCGTATCGCGACACTTTTAGAAACACAAGCCTCGGAGTTTCCTCTGTCTCCCAGCAGTGAGCTGTCAAGCAGCGACTTTTGTGTCACCCCATAAGCTACTGTCTCGTAATTGTTTCTTCCCCACCGCGGAGCTTTTAAATTCACGAGCTCGCGACGAAAGAAACGGAAGGACGTCCCGCTACTTTACGATCACTTCCTTCGCACGGGGCCCAATAAAATTGCACGCGGGGGCGAATATTCGCGGATGATGTTCCAACAGTTGGTACAACTGGTGCACCTCGAGAAAATAGATCGTGTCGCTTCTCGTGATTTACGGGGACTTTGAACCGTGGGTCCGAAAAATCAATCGCTATTAAAAAATAAAAAAAAAAGTGCCAAGTCACCTTCTGCCTACGCGTACGCAGCCTCGAAAGCGCCATCCGGTGGCGATTAATAATTCCCTCGTCCCTCCGGCTACGACTGCTCCGCGTTCGCGGAAACGCGCGTTTATTTACGACGATCTTCCCCCTCCCTGCATCTCTTCTGCTAATGGGACTGCTCATTAATTAGTATCGCGTGCGGATATTTCGCAGCCAGAGTCGCGCTGAATTAAGCGAAATAATTAGACAAATAGGGACGGAGGAGGGGAGGCGTCGTTTGTCATTAGGATTTGGCCCTATTAATTCCTCGTTAATTCCTCCTTTCCTCGTCAAGCAAGATAAACGAGTGTACACAGCCCAGCATAGTTTTACCCCTCGCGGCAGCTCTTTCCCCGAGAGCTTTGCATCAAAAGACCTGAACTTTATTAAATTAAACGAAAAAACAAAAATCTCACACGAAGATGTCATAAATAAGCCGAGAGATTCCCTCCTACTCAAACACTCACGAGCTTGTCGAAGTACTCGAGGTAAGCGGGGAGGACGAAAAAAAAAAAAAAAAAAAAAAAAAACCGATATCCGCGTGTGTTTTAGGAAGAGGATACACGCACACGACGCGGGATTAGAGACGAGAGCGTGGAGAACGATATCCTTGCTCTCGAGGGCCCCTTCTCTCCTCGAGTGGTAAGGAGCTCTCTCTCTCTCTCGGCGGGACGTCCTTATATATGCGCCCACTATGCTTACACACAGCCACTCGAGAGACAAAAGATGAAGAATAAGAAGAAGCATATATATGACCCATCGTAATGCGTTATACATACCATACTTGGGTATATATATGTACACAGCGCTCAAGTGCGCCTTTGGAGTTTGATGTTTTGCCGGCGTTGTCGTGCGTTGAGCCTCTTCTCCCTCTTTTTTTTACTCATCCGTGTATAGTTCAAGAACGGAATATATATATATATATGGAAAAGAATGGGTTCCACGCGAGTTTGCGTTTCGCGCGCGTCGTAAAGTCCAAGGAGATGGGCCATGCTCCTCTTGGAATTTATGTGCCTTGACTGCGCTACTTTGTTTGAGGGGAGCTTTGAATAATTTATGTATATATATATATACATATGTGTGGGGGTGCGCTACCACTGCTGATAATGCTCGGGCATATGAGGTATAAATCAGGAGCCGAAGTCGACGTCTTATTGGATTTTCATTTCTTTTCCCATGGGTGAAAATCGAGGAAGGGGGTGTGGACACGTTTGCGAGAGCAGCAGCTTTGTGTTATTGAAAATTTCATCAGTCCGGGGTAAGGGTGCACCGGGGGTACGCGCAATTATCCCGTCGGACCCTGGAATCCGCGAGCGTAAATCACGACCACGAGGTGCCAAAGCGTTGGCGCGAGAATGCCGAGGGATGAAAGATACACCCAAGACGAGTCTTGATGTGCCGAGACTAACCAACCGGCGCACGGCTCGTTGACGCTGTCACCGACTTTGCGTCTATTTAAATATCCCGTGGGTTGCACCGGCACTTATACTTGCTCTCCTTTGGCTCGTTATTGCGAAGAGATTACCATGTAAGAGGGAAGGGCGAAAGACGCGAGCAGATGAGTTTATTCGCGCTTCGCCGCGCGCTGCCGTAATTGGTCGTGAAATCGTTGCACTGCTCGCTCGACGGAGCTAAAAGTTAACCGACGCTGTTTGACATAGGAATTTTTTTTCTTTTTTTTTTTCATCTTTACTTGTTGATACTTGATGGGTCGAGTTGGACTCTTTAAAACCTACTTAATGAATTCCAAAATTTATCTGCTTCTGAGAAAGAACTGAAGCCAAATCGTATACTACGCAACCAATGTAAATTTCTATACAATTTTTAAAAATCTTCAACCATACGTTTTCATTCATAGCGTCGCGTAGCATTGCACGGTACTCTATAGTTTATATGTTACAACTAGCGCAAGTCTAAAATCGCGGAAAGGCGTCCAAGAACGGGCTCGAGTAGCCAAAAAACGGATGCTGCAGTGGAGGTGCTCGGCTTAGCGTAAATATAAGTACACGGAGCAAGAGAAGGCGAGTACACGTCCACCCATTCCCGATCGGTAGTTTGTCATGCGTCACAAGCCCGTCCGACTCCCCGATGCACCTGCCCTCCTCGTGTCAGGGCTATATATTCCTCTTCCTCCTCCTCCTCGGGTTTTTACCCCTTCCCCACCGAGCATCTCCTTCCATCTCGTGGACCCGAATATAACACGCGTCTGCGACCGGTTAATTTCTTACGCCGTCCGAGAGCTTTTCCTCGCTGTCTCGGCTGGTAAATGAATTGGTGTACCTCTTTCGGATTTTCGACACTCGCGTTCGCGTGTACTATACTTGCGTAGCGGAGCCAAAATACGTTATTATCTCGCAGTCAACAAATTCAACGAGAATCACATAGTATACGGCAATTTGTGAAATGAGCCGATGTATAAATAGTTGCCCTGACAAACGGACGTGGTACACGCGGCGCCCTAGGGGTCCCCGAAGGCTGGACGAATTGATCGCAGTCCTTAGGCTCCTGATAGCCATGCCAGGACGTGTGTTTTCGCGCTCGCGTTTCATGTCCTTAGAATTCCGGACTCGCCTCGGCGAGCCGCGTGTCTCTTTTTTCCGTGTCGCGCGCGAGTAATTGAAATTTATCACTCGGCGGTAGCCGTGCTCTGTGCGACACAACTATATACGTATAGAACCGCGAATGTATGCAACCATGCACGGCTCGGAGAGTATTGCGAGTTTGGTATTTTTTTTTTTTTTTTTTTTTTTATATAAGGGCACGTTGTTGTTTCACGGTTGATTTGATTAATCGGAGACACGAGCGGGATATTTCTTATGAGCTGCTTTTAATGTATCGGCAAAAAAAAAGATTGTAGGTGTTTTTCTGTTATTCGAGTCATTGTAAGAAACGCAGGTGTCCATTTTTTTTGGATGAGCTCGTTTATTTCGGAGTTAAGTAAACGAATCGATCGATCGGACCTTATTGGTGAAAGTGAGTTTTTTCAACGCTAAACATGTAAAGTATCGTCTAGACGAATCTAACATCACTTGGGGACACCTGCTCTCTAAGACTGAAAGGAAAAAAAAAAAATAAATAAATAAGCGCCACGTCAAGTCGTAAGGTTTGAATAGATAGTATTGTACAAAAGAGAAGGAAAGAAAAAAAAAAGACGGCTGCCGGATCAGTTTGACGAAAGGAAAGAATATATGAATAATTGAGGTGCGACTGCAGCTGCACCGTCTATCGAGGCACAGACGGAACGAAAAGATTCTATTCTTGATATTCAGTTTGATTTTATTTTTCTTTAGTCCAGCACACTACTGTTGAACAAACGATTACATTTAGTTTCACAATCAATATCAAATTTATCCGCGAGTACCTCTAACACGAACTACTGTCGCTTAACGCACCCATCATCATCACATTTATCCTTGCAAAATGAAAAAGGCAATAGACTGCACGTACCACCCCACATCGTATACGAAAATGCGATCGGTATTATATATGTAGAGACGCACCTCAAGCAAATCGTAAATATCTCGAGTGAAAGGAGAAAATATCACTTGGGCGTATAGTGTATTGTATGCTGACTGAGCTCGTACCGTAAAGTATATATATAAGTAAGATAGAGACGGTTTGGTATACGTACAGTCATTGCAAGGGAAGAAGGCGATGACGCATATCTGATTTACGATGGACCGTCCATTAAAAGTGGACATTATACGGATGCGCGTCGAAGAACAAAGGAAGAAGAAAAGCGAAGGAATCTCGGAACGGAGCAAATAATATAAATTGCATTTTTTTTTTTTATGAACCGAAGTTTTCCCAAATCAAAGAATAATTATACTTAATATCATGTATAGTTAAAACTCCACATCGCTCGTGATATAATGCGCGTTACGCTCTTCTGTGCCATAACGGTGAACATGCCGCTGGTTATGGGTATACCTTCCGACTTGTAAATCGCTAAACTGCTATACTTAATCTCGATCCGGGAGGTAAAGAGCATGTCTATACTGCATACATATATGGGACGAAGGAGGATACACGTCCAATACATCCCTGGCGCGGCTCCTGTGTGTGCATATAATAATACAATGTATTGGTGGTGCTGTGTATAACTGTATAGCGGATCGGAGTTCCCGCGAGCTACAGCTCTATATACGCTCAAGTGCGTGCTGCTGTGGGAATAATTACCCCTGGAAAGCCCGTGTAATATCGATGCGCTTCTCTGTATCGCGGATCTATGGGATCATGTAAATTTTACGGTACGAGGTGATTTTTTCGGTGCTCCCATGATTATGGAGCTTACGATGTTTGCTTGTTTTGTGTACTTATTATACATAGACGAGATTGAAAATATAATATTTGTGGAAGATTTGCTTCTCAAGATTTACAAATCAAGTCAGAAAGTGAGAAAAAATGGGCAAACGCGCAGTGAACGTGATTCAAGTAATCAAAACTGAGTAGGAAGGTAAGGGTACGGAGGGGGAGGATGTCGCGTGTGCGACCGAGAGACGAACAAGGGAGATCAGAGATTTCGTGAGAACGCGCCCGATAGAGGGCCCTAGCGACATCCATCAAGTATCATCTTGGCTCGATAGTTCTTTTTTTTTTTCCTTTCCGTACGGCGTAATTATCTTCGCGAAGCGACAATAATGCAGTTGAAGTAATTGAGCGACTTTTCATCCGTGGGTCTTGGTATTGTCTTGGTTCTTTGCTCTCGTTCATTAGGAAGAGGAATGTTACGATTAGGGCGGCTGAGAGACAGTAATTGCAGCTGCGTTTCAGTAATCTCGGATATACGTATATGGTATGATCATCGTTCACGCAGCGACTACGGGACACCTTTGAAGACTCAACTGATAATCAATCTTTTGAATAAGTAGTTATAGACTGAACAATTTGGATTATATTTTCGAGTGAGTATAGTAATTGCAGCGTATTAGAGAAGTGTTGCGAAAATTATAGGGATCGACTGTTTAGCTTTTGGCTTTTCAATTAGTTTTGATAAAATTAATTTAATAAAATCGTGGTACACAAGTCTATGGGCTGGTTTACATCGACTCGATTGACCGATTCTACAAAAAAATGATAGCCTCACAGTTATGTTTGGTAGAACGCTGCAAGTTAAACTCGCCATTCACAACTCACCATGTATACTCATGTTAATGCAAACGAGGAAGAAGTATCGACCGTTCAAAAACTCTCATTTTTTTTATAAATTACCGATGTAAGTTTATTATATGTGCTTTGAAAAAAAAAAAAAAAAAAAAAAAANCTGTGTGAAATAGTAATTTTTGGTAGAATTTCTCTATAATTTTATTCTCTTAGTGTATGGTTTGTTTTATTCATAATTATCCACTCAATACCAAATTAAAAAGTGGGCAGCTGAAAAATTAGTTGACAAAAAGTTATAAGTAATTTGAGTCAAAAAATAAAAAATTTTACCGTTAAAAAAAAAAAAAAAAAATTGCATCACGTGCCCGAATGAAAGACGTGCCCGGTGAGTAAATTAGCATAGCGTGCTTACCCCGTACGCACTAGGGACACGCGAAATAACACACGCGCACTACGTCCGTCCATACACATGTTTGGAGGAGCATCAAGTGCATCTCGGTAAAGTACAAATATGGTAATCCCCGAAGTAGAGGAGGAGAGGGAAAGGAGGATCCATCAGCCGAAAAGTCCTAATTGGAACTCGTCAGAAGATGTGCCCGGTCGATATACAAGAGAGGCATTTTCTCCCGACGCGGAGCACCACGTACACGAGATTTCCTGTACACTGCAACTCGCGGAGCGTCTATATAATACACTTCGAGCCATCATTTCCGGCCGGCTCTCCCTCGTATCCGATCGGCGCGAGAATTTGTAAGTTTCATGTTTATTCAGCGTATTCAAATAAACACGCGGATGCAACAAAAAAAGAGGAGCGCGTGTAGCGACGTCGTCGACTCTCGCGTTTGTTTCTTTCCTTTCACCCTCAAAGTCTCATCGCGTGCGCGTCTCCTGCGTGCCTGCCCTCTTCTCTCTCTTACTTTCGATTTTTGATCCGCGATACACATTCGCGCGCGATGTATATATATGTACCTGTACGTGCGCCAACACGTGTCTCAATTCGTTTGGGAAGCGCAATTAAAACGTGTGTTTTCCCCGTCCGTCCCTTAAAGTCCTCCCCCTGCATGGTGCACGCACAATGGCGCTCTAATTAAGCGCGGAAGGGCAAGTCGGAGCTCGTGTAGCACGCGCAGAGACGTAAGTATATACACGAGTCGATCTGCCCTGAAAATCTCTGCAGCATTCCTAACGCGAGTCTTTGCCAAGAAGGGGGAAAGATAACCAGGTACCCCGGTGGGTGTATCCACGCACAGTGTTTCACCAGAGCTGGTGTAACGTAGGCACCTACGAGAGTTGAGAAATATGTTTCGGCTCTCTGATTTGAAGAAGTTGGTGTGAAATATACATTTATACATGCCCATTGGTTCTTTGATAATTCGGATACAAACGAAATGTCACTATTCGGAACAGTTCATCCGTGATTATATGTTCTCATTTTTCTCTTTTGATATATACATACAAACACCTCAAAATCTTGGGACAAAAACTAGCCAATTGAAGCTTGATGTGCACGCATTTACGTACGGGGCGATGTGCAATCCACACGGCAGACAGAATTTGAACCTATGCATAGGCGACCCGTCGTAGGTATACAGCCCAACTCAATTATCCAAGCGGTCCGAAATCAACGACTGGAATTACCATCGTCGTCCCAGTCGTCGGTTCCTCCCTCCCTCACGGGGAAGGCAAATAAATTAGGGGCTCGGCCGGCTGGTACCTCCCGCGTGTGTATATAATACATGCGCGTCGAGTAGAAAGATCGAACGGTGTGTACGTATATAGGAACGAGGGTATCGCCGGCAATTGCACATTGTGCGCACCGCTGTTGCAGCTGCCGCTTGTTATCACTGCACCGACGCTCTTGCATCCATCCGCGCGAGGCTATCCTCCGGCCCGAGGGGCGTGCTTAAACAACACACGCTCGCACACGCGGCCGATATGGTGGATTAACGGCTTGGTGTGTGTATATATATATATATTTGTATAGGGGAGGGTGCGATGCTTGCGTGTGTTGGCAGATGCCTTGCGCTTTATATTTATACATGTCCTGCGTATCTACGTGCGTGTATGTATGTGGGTTCGGGTGGGCTATCGATGTCTTAATTAGGTGACGCGCTGTGCGCCTCTCGCTTGGCCGCGTGTGGATAAATGCACGCGCCGAGCGACCGGGAGCTTGAGGGATGGGCAAGAGAGAGAGAGAGAGAGAGGCTCGACTGCTATCGCTCCTGCATAATGTGTATACATCGGGACGAGCTGGATGATTGGGGGCGCTTTTACATCCACGGGAATGGGTAAAATGATGCATTGAAAGGTTCTTGGTATGTAATATAAGGGTGTTTTTTTACGAATATGTATATAAATCTGGGTTACGCGTGGTGCACGGGATGGGCAAAAATATGTGTGTGTCCGCGTTTATGGAAAAACATCTGTTTCGATTCGTCACCGAGCTTGCGGAACAAAAAAATTCTCGTTTCGGCCGAGTGGCGCCACCAGCTGTCTCGTTTTTTGGCAAATGAACCCTTATGGGTTCCAGGTACCGTGACGTTTGTCGATTTTGTTTTGCTTACCATAGTTAACATGTTTCAAGTATATGTTCGTTTTATGGCACAATAGTTCATAATTTCTAGAGCTGAGATTGCACTGAGCAAGGAAAAAATAGTAGTTTTCCTACAAGTTTGAAAAGTCTCTGTTTGCGAACCGAGAGGTTTGCGGCCCGAGCCGAAGGCGAGGGACGTAACGAGGTTCGTAAAGGAGACTTTTCAAACGAGTTCCGGAAAACTGCTTTTTCACCCGAGGAAGTACCAGCCTCCCAAAACCACCCGAGGGCGGAAAATTCTTTTTTGTTAACAGTTAAATAAAACTTTCATTCTTGTAATTATTCAATACATTACTTTAAACTTATCTTGGCGGTGTAAATTAAATACAGTGAGAGTCGAATCGAGTGAGCATCGGACGCACAGGTTTCTCACTCACTCGAGCAAACAATTGTGAAATCATCTCTCGAAAAGGGACAAAGATATTACTTTTCCACGTATAAGTATAAACCGAGTTTTTTCACACGTCAATAAACTCAACGTAAAAATACCCCCACGCGAGCTCTCTCTGAACAGCATCGAATACCCAGCAGTAAAAATTAGTGCTCGGCTGTTTACGACCACGGAAAAAAAAAAGAAAACAAGATGGAAAAGCGCCGGTCCAACATGAGTCCAGCACGTGTACTGGCGCTTTTCTCAACAGAGGCGCCGACAAATGAGCGGTGACTCTGAAATGCGAGCGTCTTGTGCGCCTGTCTCCTCTCAATTTAAGACCTTTCCCGGAAAGTATCGACGCTCCGCTGCTGCTACTTACTTGTTAAACCAATTAAATGCCCGTATAGTCTGCGTCGAGTAGAAACACAGTCGCTCCCGGCACTAATGGATGCGAGGAAAGTTCGAGGTGTCGAGTTTCGGATGCAACGCGTGAAAATCTTTTGTTGGGCTTTGATGAAAAAGAAAAAAATCTAACAAACAGAAGTAGCCGATCAAAACACGTGAAAATTGTGAATATTCCGTGAGTTGTGTTTCTCTCGAAGGACAAAAAAAACGTCAGTCAATTTGACGAGTGTGTTGACAAGGCATAATCGGCCACTGGATAATTGTGGGATATTTGTTTCGATGATTGCACGTTTTCAACAACGGAGTATCGAGATTGTGATCAATCGCGGAAGCCCCTGATTGATGGTTTCATCGCCCCACCCCGAAATGACGGGGTGGTTTTTTTTTTTTTTATTTCGGACGAAAAAATAATAACACAAGCCCCTTTGCGCACGTACAACCCGAAACAATGACGCAGCAACGAAGGAGGCCCAATGAAAAAAAAAAAAAAAAACACCCAAAGAAGCGCAGAGGATAAAAATGACGCGAGCGATCTACCGGCGTCAAGTAAAAAGAGAGAGAGAGAAAAAAAGGTCCCGAGAATCCACACTGGCGCCCCGCTAGAGCCAAGATAGACAAAAAGATGGTAAAAACGGGGGGAAGGCCGGGCCAATTTACGAGGCCTCCAGCTAGCTACGGCGACGCCAACAACCCGAGCCCGGGCGCAGTGAGACGTTAACGGCCTCCAGATATCCTCTGCCCGGATATTCCTGTCACCCGCGCGCACCACGACGGCAGTAGGCCAGAGAGGACTAATTAGAATCTCCTTCCCCTCGTTGTCTCGGGCAGCGGGGGAAATATATTTACTGCCCCCGATTTTTCCTCGACTATTTCTCTCTGCGGGCTCCTTTCCTTCTTTGCCCTCTGGAATTTCGGGTGCGGCCACACGGACCGGGATGAGATTTATGCGAGCCTCGACAAATCGGAGGTATGCCGATCGGAGATAAAACCCCGGCTCATTGTTTCTCTCCCTTCCTTTTTTGTTCGTCCATACTTTGCTCTCGACTATGAAAAACCCACGCGATAAAAGTTTAAA